AAGTCTATTGAATTCTTGTTTTCCAAATGTATTCCAAGCAATTGAAATGCATGATCTAAGGGAGCAAATTATGAGTTATGAAAACAACGTTTCAATAAACAAGATTTTATTTTGTTTGATCAATTCTATCTAGTATTGAAGTCACCAGCACTCACTACTTATCATTGGAACATCAAAATGTACTTACTTCTTTTCATTGTCCATTTTCTCCCAATGGTTTTAAGATTCCAGTCGATTTTCGATGGTGTTTTACAATGCGATTTATCATTTGATTCAAAAGTGATCGAAAATATAATTATTTCACAACAATCAAGTCCGATTCTAATTGCGTTGAATCGAAATGTAATTTATTTACTTGTAAATTAAATGTTGCTACGCCAGAAGTAGCGTGGCTGTGAAACGTGTTTTCGCCTTAAATGTCACCGTAGAAAAGAATGTCCATTCACACAATCAGCGACGAAGCGGAGAATATACTATCGCATGCGATTGTGTGAGTGCAAATGGATTTGTGAGCGTGAGCTTGCATCAGAAGTGCTCACTCAAACATCAACTGTCAACATTTCTGTGCGGCGATTGAAGTGTCAATCATTTTGATTCAACTCATCGGGATTTCACTAGACTTGAATGAAAAAATGCAATTTAAAATTCGTTTTAAAAATTGTTTATTGAAGGCAAAATGTTCCATTTATTTGCTACGAATTGAAATGTTCGGAGAATAAGATTTTAACAGATTTATGCAAGATTTTGAAATTCAATAGAACTTGATAGTAAGTTGTTGTAAGATTATATAATGGAAAAACTGTTCTATTGATTTATTGGCCATACGACATTGGATTCACTTGAGATACATAGGTATTTTTAGAATATTGGAATTTTATCGATATGATTTTCTTTTGTTCATTCAATGAAGTTGATTCGATGAAAATAAACGTTGTCTGACTTCCCCATGGGAATATCCGTACAAGAAAATCGCGTCCTTCCTTGTTTGTGGTGGATGTTTTTCATGTGCCTGTTCAAACTCGATTTCCGTGTAAATGTATTGCAACACATGTCGCAGCGGAAAGGTTTCTCGCCTGAATGCGTGTGCATGTGACCTTTCAATTTGTTATTGGATGAACGGACGGACTCCTTGCACAAGTAACACTCGTAGTAGCGTCCGTTGCAAGTTCGTTGGTGTGCCTTCTGTTTGTCGTTCTTCAGAAAACCACGGTGACAAATCAAACACTTGCACGGCGATGAGGCTACAATAACACGTTTTTCCAATGTAAACATAAGACGAGCTCTACTGACACGATGCTTGTGGTGATAGTTGAAGATTTCAATCACATAAGCGTATGCATGGCCGAAAATCAAGTAGCCTTTCGCGCAAACCGTATAAATCCTATGATAGCGTGTCTGTAGTGTGTGTATATATTGACCGCTCAACGTGTGTTGTGTGCATGACCACTAGAGGCAGGTTGTAAATTAAAAGTTGCTACGCCAGAAGTAGCGTGGCTGTGAAACGTGCTTTCGCCTTGAATGTCACCGTAGAAAAGAATGTCCAGTCCAGTCCATTCACACAATCAGCGACGAAGCGAAGAATATACTATCGTATGCGTGTGTGTGAGTGCAAATGGATTTGTGAGCTTGTATTAGAAGTGTTCACTCAAACGTCACTTGTCAACATTTCTGTGTGCCGATTGAAGTGTAACTTATTTTGATTCAACTCATCGAGATGTCACTAGACTTGAATGGAATAATGCAATTTCAAATTCTTTGTACCAATTATTTATTGAAAGCAAAATGTTCGACATTGAATTCACTTGAGATACATAGGTATTTTTAGAATATTGGAATTTTCCCGATATGATTTTCTTTTGTTCATTCAACGCAGTTGATTAGATGAAAATGAAAGTTGTCTGATTCTCACATGGGAATATTCGTACAACCAAATCGCGTCCTTCAGTATTGCTTGCGATGAATGTTTTTCATGTGCCTGTTCAAATTCGATTTCTGTGTAAATGTTGTGCGACACAGATCGCAGCGGAATGGTTTCTCGCCTGAATGTGTGTGCATGTGACCTTTCAATTGGTCGTTGGTTGAACGGAAGAACTTCTTGCACAAATAACACTCGTAGTAGCGTCTATTGCAAGTTCGTTGGTGTGCCTTCCGTTTGTCGTTCTTCAGAAAACCGCGGTGACAAATCAAACACTTGAATGGAAGCTTCGTTGTATGAGTGCACATGTGCGCCTTGCGATAATCAATTCGAGAAAATGATTTTGAGCATTCTACGCACTGGAACGGGGTTTCACCAGAGTGAGTGCGCATATGACGAATCAAATCAGATTTGATCAAACCAATTGATTTGCGACAAACATAGCATTGGTAAACACGACGATTACACTCTTCCTCATGTGAATCTCTTTCGTCTTGATCTGAAAATCTTTCGTGACATTTTGAACAGCGGAATGGACGTGGACCGGCATGAATCTTCATGTGTTTGTTTAAATTGTGTTTCTGTACGAACTTCTTCGAACATTCTTCACATTCGAACGGTTTGTCTCCACTGTGTACGCGCATGTGATTCACCATATTTGTCTTAAGTGAACCAAACGAATCCTTGCACAAATAACATTCATAGCGGACAACTTTGCAATTAGTTTCGTGTTCTGTCTTCTCCTCCTTTCCATCGAATCCTTGCAAGCAGCCTGAGCAATGGAACAGAAACTCCTTGACGTGTATTTTCATGTGACCAAGGAGACTTCGTTTTTCTTTGAAACGTTTCGGGCAAAGGGTGCATCCGTGTGGCTTCTCACCAGTGTGTTTCAACAAGTGCTGATTCAAATGACCTTTATTATCGGTCGAATATTCACAAAAGTCGCATTTCTGCTTCTTCAATACAGTTTTGGGAACACTAACTTTGTCACACGATTCCTTGTTCATCGCACCGTGGCCTCTTCCTGGCTGCGTGGAAACGTTTTCATCTGATCGTGATGGCCGCTGAAGATCACGTTGATTTGCCATCGCATCACCGCCTAATTCGTCGTTCGTCTTCGATTCCTTTTCCTTCTTTACTTCGGTTTCTTCTTT